TTTGGTGAACCATATCAAGGTCAGTAACAATCTGCTTTTCTGCTGGTCAGATATTTCTCACTCTTACTAAAGAAGTCAACCAAGCCAGAATCCCAACCAGTCATAGCATCAAAGCACGGATCTGTGGGTAGTGTTTGGTAATTAGTGGACTACATCATATTCAGGTTTGGGTTCTTTTCATATAGAGACCTAAGAAACAAAACAATGTGTCTACCCCAAAAGAACCTACAATGCATTGATGGAGTGGAGTGGATAGGTAATCTCATTCAAAACTCCCATTTGGAAAGGCACTCATGGAAAATTCTTTGCAAAATCTTCCTGGTTATGGTCTCATTCTTCTCCCTAGAAGGGTCTCTCCATTGCATAGTTCTCCAAGGACCTTGGCTTCCCATTATGTAAGTTGGTTCCTTTTTTATCATGCTCTTTGGACACATGCGAATCAAGCATTGGACAATATATTTTCCTTGGACACTGAGCAGGTTTTTCTGTCTGCTTCTTAACCATAGAAAGATTTTGCCCAAGGGGTTATCTTAAATCTTGAAAAATCAAACACGTTTATAATCTAGGCTTATGGTGTTTTCAGCAGCGCAGTTGCCTCACAAACATTCCCTGCTTCTTATCTCTTTTATTCCAGTGAGCTCTATGTGCCAATTTATGTAAGACATGCCCTCCTCTCTCTTATTTATTTCAGATATTTTCAGTCTAACAGGCTCCACAGGGAGAGTGAAGCCTTTAGTTTCTTTTTCTTGAGCAATTTTGCTAAAAATTTATTTACAGGGACCATCTTGACTCTCTCTGCACCAGGAAAAACAGATGTCACCATTGCTATCTGGATAGACACTGTTAAGTTTTCAAAATCTTTAAAAATTATTTTCAAATAATTTACAGAATTAAGAGTAAAGGAATAGTGAAACACAACTATTAGAAAACCTTAATAAGAATTTAAACAGATAACTCGTGTTTTTAATTCCATATTTACCTGGTGGGAAGGGTATACGCATGTGAAATAAGCAGTGTTCTTTGAAAGCAACTCACTGCTCGCCAACTCTCATAAAATAAACTAGGCCATATCAATCTGGTAAATACTGATTCCTGTCTTCAAACATTCACATCAATTCCATCTTACGACTACTTCATGTGCAGCATATTCTTTCTTCATCAAAATGCGATTGATTTTGAAGCTGTGAAACCTCATAATTTTGTTGCAGAGAGGTTAGCCATCACTTTTGGACCTAATTGTAAAATATTTTTTGTTTTTTTCATTTTTACATTTGTAAACACCAAGTAGAATGCTCTGATAATATTGTGGATTATTTCTACATAACACATGGCCTGCCAATCAATGTTCTTTATGAAGACTTTGTTTTTAGAATACTTTAAGGTTCAAAGCAAAATATGAAGGAAGATACAGAAAATTCTCATATATCCCCTGCCCCCCACATGCAGAGCCTCCCCCACCATTGACAACCTTCACCAGAGTAGTACCTTTGTTACGATTGATAACTATACTGATGGATCATTATCACACAAAGTCCATAATTTACATTAGAGTTTGCACCTGGTGTTTTAAATTTTATGGATTTGGGCAGAAGTATAGTGATATATATCACAGAGAATATTTTCACTGACCTAAAAATGCTCTGTGCTCTGCCTATTCATCCCTCCCTTCCTCCAGCCCCTGGAAACCACTGAGTATTTCACTGCCTCCATAAATTTGCCTTTCCAGAATGTCATATCGTTGGAATAACACATGTATTCTTTTCAGATTGGTTTATTTTATTTAGTAATACACATTTAAGTTTCACTCATGCTTTTTAAGGCTTGATAGCTCATTTATTTTTAGCATAATATTCTATTGTATAGGCACACAACAGTTTATGTATCCATTCACCTTCTGAAAGACATCTTGGTCAATTCTGAGTTTTGGCAATTATGAATACAGCTGCTATAAACATCTGTGTGAAGGTATTTGTGTGGGAATAAATTTTCATTTCCTTTGGATAAATACCAAAGAGTGAGATAGCAAAATTGTATGGTAAGACTTTGTTTAGTTTTTAAACAAACAAACAAACAAAAAAGCCAAATGTCTTCCATAGTGGCTGTACAATTTTGCATTCTTATCAGCAATAAATGAGAGTTCCTGTTGCTCCACATTCTCTTCAACATTGGATGTTGTCAGTGTTATGGATTTTGACCATTCTAATAGGAATACAGTGGTATTTTATTATTGTTTTAGTTTACATTTTTCTGATAACATATGGAATGGAACACCTTTTAAATATGCTTATTTTCCATCTGCATAACTGAGATGTCTATTAAGGTCTTTGGCCAATTTTTAAATTGTATTGTTCATTTTATTACTACTGAAACTTAAGATTTCTATTTGGATAACAGTTCTTTATCAGATATGTTTTTTGCAAATATATTCTCCTAGTCTGTGTCTTGTCTCCACTTACTTGACAATGTCTTTCACAAAGCAGAAAATTTATATTTTAATTACATCTGGCTTCTCAATTCTTTTTCTTTCCCCTATGGATCATGCCTTTGGCACTGTATCTAAGGAGTCATCACCAAACCCAAGGTTACCTAGATTTTATTTGTGACATGAATTTTCACCATCGTATGTGATATTGTTAAAAGATTGTGTGATAACATCCCTTCTGTTGAATAACTCCATGGAGATTACATATTAATTTTTCATTCTTAGAAATATATTATGGTTTACTCATTGATTCTTGAATTTGAGAAAATTCATCTAGAATATTTTTTCTGATGACATGTAGTCTGAAATTTCACTTACATAATGAGTTTTATTATCATCACTAGTATCTTAAGTGCTATATATATCTCTTTGCATTCACACTTTGATTCATATAATAAATAAGGATATCATTCTCTTTGCCTTTTTGGTAGAATTCTTTATAAAAATTCTGATTTCTGAAGTTTGTTTAATGTTATTTTAAAGAAGGCTACAGGATCATGCTATTAAACTATTTTATACCTTCCTGAAAAATGATAAAATTGTACAACTCACTAAAAAACTGAAGATTATGTAATATTGATAATTTATTTTACCACTGCATTATTCTAGTGATTCAATTTCATTTTTAATTTATTCTCTTTTAGGTGTTGTTCAAAATAATTTAGGATTAACATTCTAAGCTGATTCAAAGCAAAATATGTCAAGATACAGGTAATGTAAGATGACTAAGCTCTTGTAAAATACATTGGATTCAAAAGCGGTCCAATCAACTCATATTAAAAATACTATCTTTTATTTAAAGTCAACTAATTTTAGATATTAATTCTATCTACAAAATACTTTCATGACTTTATTTGAAACATGAAATATCATATTTTCTGTTAAATATAATGTGATATTTTTCCTTCTCTATCTTTGAATGATCCTTAAGAAAAAATATAATGACATAGCACTCCTTACAAAGAGTTAAACTACTCAAAAATATGCTAAAATCAAAACTTGGATTCAAAGCATGTTATATCTGCTGTTACACCTTGGATTACTCCATTAAGAAATGATAATAAGAAGCATAATATTAATATCCTTGACTTGACCTTGACACAGAGCTGACGTTTTGTTTTTTTATTTCTTTTTAGTAACACATACAAACAGCAACATACACAAATCCATTTCTATATCTAGATCATTCCATGATGTACCCACTTCTGTCCCACCACTCACATTAAGAAACTGCATTAAGAATAGCTTCCCAGTAGTCCCCCTCTTGCCCCTTCAATCACCGTTTCTTGTGAAGGGAACTGTTCTCTCGAGTTCCATCACCATAGATAAGCTCTGCCTGTGTATGAAATTTATATAAATGAATTATACAGTAAGCCCTCCTTTTTGTATGTCTTCTTTTCATCAGCATTTTTTTTCTGAGATCATTGATGTCACTGTAGTTTGTTCATTCTATTTTTCTAAAGTTCTGTCCTATGAATATAATACATTTATCCCTTCTTATGCTAATATGGATAGCTTTCTATTTTTACTGCTACAATAGTACTGTTATAAACAGTTTTTGTATTTCTTTTTGTTGAATGCATCCAGCTATTTTTGTTGGCTTTATAATTAAATTAAGTAGGATTCAACTTTTATTAGTACTGCTAGTTTTCAAAAGCAGTTGAGTCGAATTACATTTCTGTCAGCAACATATGAGATTTCTTCTGTAGAAAAATCCTTTCTAAAACGTATTGACAACTTTTTTTTTAGTCATTCTGGCATGTATATTGTCTTATTCTGTGTATCTGAAGTTATTTTCTAATGAATATAATGAATGATGAGATTTAACACATTTTTTATATGTTGATTGATGATATGAATATATTGTTTTCTTTGGAAGGCATGTTCAAATTTTTGCTTATATTTTGGTATCTGTCATTTTTGTTGATTTGTTGAAGCTTTCAAAAATATACATTCTGGATACAATTGCTTTGTCAGATGTGCGTACTGAAAATATCCTATCACACTGAGGATTGCTTTTTACTTTCTAGATGTTGTCTTCTTTTTCTTCAAAGTTTAAAACCTAAAGCTAGCTCTTTTTGTCACTTATTAAATAAAATTATCCCCACTCCTGCATCATTAAGTTTCTCTTAAAAGCTTTTAACTGAACTATTGCTTAAATGCCTCCTCAGTTTTATATTTTATTAGTTAGAAGTCTACTTATTAACATTACCCCTCTTATGTGTGCCACATTATTGCAAGTGACAGTCTTACCAAAAGGATGACTCACTGTATTGCAGTCTTCAATGGTGATTAGTTTGTTGTCTTTTATGGGGTCTCTAAAGCAATGCCAATGTCGTGCAATGTTTTGCTTTTTTGGTTGCAGCAGCACCTACTTATGAGTCAGAAGTGACCAGGTTATGGTAACGACAACAAAATAACACAGTCTCAGTGGTGATATATGTATAAAAAAGGCTACTTCTTATTCTCTCCAGATCTAGGGAACAGCTCACTCCAAAACCCATGCCACAAAGACAGCCAAGCTTCAAAAAGTTGCTTTAATTAAGATACATGGACAATGGTCAAGAAGGTGACTTGATCTGGAACTGATACAGGAACTCCTGCTCATATTTCATTGGCCAGAATGCGTTACATTCCCATCAAGCTCCAGTGGGTAGGAAACAGCACATGCTGAGACAGTAACAACCAGTGGTCATCCTTCATGAGAAAGCAAATCTAGGCTCTTGGATCCTCAGTGAATAGAGTATTTTATGAAGGAAATAAATGGTCCCTGTAAATCATAGAAGAACATGTAAAAGATTCCATGTCAAGCCAAAGACCGTGATTACACTCCAGACCACCATATCTGAGCACTATCTCCTCACTGCTAAAAGGGAAGTCAGTGAGCCTCAGATACACAAGCTAGCAAGCAATCAAGCACATAATTAGATTAACTGTAGGGTGCAGTGGTTGACAGAACAAGTTTTCAATGAATATATGAAGTATTAATATTATCCAGCTCGGTTTTAAAACAGAAATGAATATATCCATGCATTTCTTAATATAGTTGGGGCACCCGTGAAATGGAAGGAATTCTCCGCAGTAACAATGCGAATATTTTTTCTAGTCCTTTCTCAAGCACAAATATTCTGAAAATATTCTTATAAGTAATAACCAATTCTTTATCTAAAATATTGAAGGGAAAATATGCAGTCTCTTTTCTTAATTTGAATTAGGCATCTCACTCTAAAACTTTCTCCCCTTTGTATTTGTTGGATCTCAGTAGAGAAAACCAATTTGATGGAGGAAAATTATGAACACTTATATGTAGATGGCATCTTGAAGTTTACATTTTGAAAACACACGTATACATTTAAACCATATAACTGTAAAGAAGAAAGTTATTATTTTACTTAAATAAGTATAATAAATTGTGCCCAAAGTTACAGCGAGCCTCAGATACAGATTCCTCAGAGCCTGTTTATATGATAATTGCCAACCCCGGTATGACCTCAACTTCAACATCCACAAACAGACCTAGAGTCCTCCTTCCCTTGACCTTCTGCGCTAGTTTGGGTTCTCAGAATCAGGCACCAAGACATGTTTGACATGCAGGAGATTCACTGGGATGAATACCTGTGAAAGATAAAGAAGGAAAAGAGGCAGTGTTAAGGGAAACTTCAGATTCGACACAGGTCCGGCAACTGTGAGCAGATTCGACACAGGTCCCACACAGGGAGAAAAGCGGGGAGTCAGGAAGGAAGAGTTGCAGACTGCAGTGGGCTTCTAACAATGGGGAGTTCTGGAGCTGAAGGGACTGTCCGGGTCCCACAGCTCTCACATGGGTCAGCAGGAGTAACTCTTTCCCCAACCCATGCTCACTGCTTAGTCAGGAGCAGCCAGGGCAGGGTAACACAGCAGAGAATTGAGATGGGTAGCTCTGAGCTGTCATTTAAATACACTCCTCAGAGCAGCATATTTCTCTGGCTGCAAAAGCCACTGAAATCCCTTTCTGCATTGCTTAATTTAAGCAATTATTTAAGAAATTATTTATTTATTTATTATCCAAGCAATAATTTAAGCAAGTGACTTCTCAGTTCACTAGGAACCATGTTATAAGCTTTGGATTTTGTGCTTGAATGTGCCCATCCTCCACTGCTCATGTAGGAATTCATCCCTTCATTAACACTGTACCCAATGCTCGAGGTTCAAGTGATTCCATTGGTTGCCTGCATTGTTGCAACAGCCTGCTCATTTATTCTATAGCATTTATTATCTCCAAACATCTTTGAAGATATCCCTCGTCAAACAAGTCAGAAAAATTCTAAAGCATTTCCTGAAGTTTTCATTCTTTTCTTCCACTCACTATACCTTACCCAATCTTGCTAATTCTTCTCTTACACCGGTTTCATCATTTACTGGGTTTTGACTTCTGGTTTAGACATAATCTCTTCTAAAATATAGCAATGACAGTTTAGTTACCTCAATGCTTCCAGGTTCATCCAGCTAACCCGTCCTTAACACTGATGCCAGAGTCACTTAACTGAAATACAGATCATACTCTTCCCTCACTCATTCCCATTGCTTCCACAGGGCGCATAAGACAAAAGTAACTCCTTAGCCTATCATTCAATTTCCTTCACAGTTTTATTTGGCAAACTGTTTTCAGTGTCATCTCTCACCATTTATTACATCTCCACTATGTTCCAGCCCAAGATCAGACCCCCATCCTAGGCAGGTGGGCACTGTAGATGAGCAAGCACACAGTAATGAGTGGCAGTGTGAAAAATGTTTCTCCACCGAGAGAAACCAAGCTCAATTTTTAAAAAGTCATTGCTTGGGAGCCAAATGCAGCACAGAACTCTGGTGCCCACCAAGATGGCAAGCTGGCTGGTGCTGCGGTGCCAAAATCCACTGAAGAAAGCAGAGACCCTGGTGGGAACAATGAATTCCATGAACCAATGAAAATTCTTGAGAGCTGAGGAATTAAATGTGTCCTTGATCTGAGGGATGAAGGTGGTGAAGTAAAAGGCAACCTGGAGTAGGGCTGAGAGATTCGACACAAGGACAGTTGAATAACATTCGCTCTTGTCCTTCCGCAATGTCACAAGGAGAAAATCATTGTCTGATCTTTCCTTGTGGAAATCTGTAGAGTGGCTGAACACTAGGGTGTTCCTGTACCAGGAGAACCATCAGGCCTCCTGAGAAACGTGAGGATGGATGAAGCGTTGATAAAGATGGGCCTGACCTGACTTTCTGCCTTGGACCATTCCTCTACTCATGTTCCCTACACCAATAAACAGCTGGTTCACAACAGACAGAGATCAACTTTAGCTCCTGCTGTTTTACCTTAAAAACAACTTAAAGGGGACAATTTGACAAAGGGATTACATGTCACATTGATAGCAAAGACAGTAATTAATACTTCCTTTCCTTAAGTTGAGGAATTTTAAAATGGCTAGGTCCTGGTCATTGGCCCTTGCTGCTTACATATTGCAAGACGGTGTGGTGATAACCAAGGGAGTATGAACATACCAAAATAGCTAGATAATTAAGAGATAGGACTGCTTTAAAAGATTAATAAGTAGGCCGGGCATGGTGGCTTACACCTGTAATCCCAGCACTTTGGGACGCTTGGGCCAATAGATGGCTCGAGGTCAAGAGTTCGAGACCAGCCTGACCAACATAATTAAACTGTATCTGTAATAAAAAAATTAAATGGGTGTGGTGGTGCAGGCCTGTAATCCCAGCTACTCGGGAGACCGAAGCAGGAAAATTGCTTCAACCCGGGAGGCGTAGGTTGCAGTGAGCTGAGATGGTGCCACTGCACTCTAGCCTGGGTGACAGAGCAAGATTCCATCTCAAAAAAAAAAAAAAAATTACTAATAAGTGGAGAATATAAAAACTGTAAATGAAAATATATTGAAAGGAAAAGGAATCTTTAATATAATAACAATACATAAGAAGATGGATGATTTAGGTGATATATATAAAACCGAGATCATCAAAATAACTGTCTATTTTGGATATGAAAAGTAAAATATTTGCACAAAACATAAGTGCTATAAATAGATGATATAACTAATAAAATTAGTAATTAGGAATAGTAGTTTATGAATCTATAACAGAAGGCAGCATAAAATGATAAAAATAATAAAAAATAGACAACTGGTATTTTTAAATATAAAAGTATGGATTAATATTTATAATATCTAAACATTTTAAAAGTGTCAATATCTATGTAATAAAATCCTGGAGAGAGGAAAGTAATAAAATTGAAAGGAGAAAATGTTTGAACAGTCTTATAGCATGTGATTTTTTTAGATTGTCTTTATGCAATAAATAAAATGCATGTGAAACCCATTTAAGTTGCTAGGTATATCAACAGTTTGCTCTTTTTTACATCTGAGTAGTATTCCGTTGTATGAAATATATTACAGTTAATCTTTTTGCCTCTGAAGGACACTTTGGCTATATCTAGTTTTTGGCAATATCAAATGTAATGCCTCTAAACATGTGTGTGTACGTGTTTTTTTATGTGAACGTATGTTTTCTAATAGCAACCATAGAAGATCAATAATGATATTTTAAATAACATTATAAATCAACATCTTTAGGAATCTAAGAAATTTTGTGTGTATAACCAACATAATTAACTTAAGGAATAAAATGTTTTCATAATTATTTTATGAAATTATTTTATGCCTACTTTTGCACAGAGATTGAATAGTTATTTGTGAGAATTTTAGAAAATTTATGTTCTCATTACTATCTCTTTGAATTTTCCTGTAACTATTCTCTTTATAAATGAGTTTGAAACTTCATACTTTAAAGCTCAAAAGAAAAAGCACATAAAGTGGTTTTGTTGGGTATAGGTATATTTTTAAATATCCTTTAGTTTCTGGATGGTTTCTTTATGAGAAATAAAAGGAATTGAATCACAATTATTTTTCATATTTGGGGTTTTTTTTCATGTTCTCCTAAGTAAGAACCTTTTCATTACGTCTGTTGATTTCCTCAAATTATTCTTAATAGTTGTGTCATTATCTGGATGTTTTCTTTATTTTACAGCTATTTTCCTGACAGAAAGAATTGTAGCATTTCCAGGTTTTTAATACGTGAGTTATCTGTGGTTTGAGTTGGATAAGTTACCTTGTGTTAGTTATAATTACTATAATAAACTGAGGCCACACATATGTGCCTACATGCAACCCAGATCTCTTCATAAAATACTGGCGGCAATGAGATGCTTTTGATAGCACTGAACATGTGGGCTCCTCAGAAGAACTAGCTAGGAGAAATTGAGCCTGAAGTCCCACAGGAACAATCTTATGGGAAGGTGAAAGTGGTTCCACAGACATCAAAATTAGTCCAAAGGAATTTTATTATATACATGAGCTGAAGACAGATAAATTTTTAAGTGTAAAAAACCTCAGAGAAAAAGCCTTTGGTGAAAAAGATCCTCAACAAATAAAATATTTTTTCAAAATTCAAGATTTTGACTTCCTATATCTCTTCATGCATTATTTTTAAAAACTAAGTGATGACGATAACTGTGGCTATTGATTATTTAATACAGATGTAGAATCAGTTCTTTGCTGTTCTAGGTTTTTTTTTTCTCTCTTCTTTTTTCTTTTTTCCTTTCTTCTTTTTTCTTGCTCTTTTATTTAACAAAACTGAAACATATTTTGGAGTCACATTGAAGCATTTGAATGACATGTAGGTAATCTGGTACCTGTGCCTAAGGACTGAGGACTTGCAGTGTCTAAGTTCAAATTTGAATCCTGCAACCGTAAAGATCACATCTTGAAAAAAGTGAATTATGCTGCTATAAAGACACATGCACACATATGTTCATTGTGGCACTATTCACAGTAACAAAGACTTGGAATCAACCCAAATGTCCATCAGTGACAGACTGGATTAAGAAAATGTGGCACATACACACCATGGAATACTATACAGCCATAAAAATGGATGAGTTTGTGTCCTTTGTAGGGACATGGATGCAGCTGGAAACCATCATTCTTAGCAAACTATCACAAGAACAGAAAACCAAACACCGCATGTTCTCACTCATAGGTGGGAACTGAACAATGAGATCACCTGGACTCGGGAAGGGGAACATCACACACTGGGGCCTATTATGGGGGGGAGGGGGAAGGGATTGCATTGGGAGTTATACCTGATGTAAAGAACGAGTTGATGGGTGCTGATGAGTTGATGGGTGCAGCACACCAACATGGCACAAGTATACATATGTAACAAACCTGCACGTTAAGCACACGTACCCTACAACTTAAAGTATAACAATAAACAAAACAAAACAAAAAGCCATATATAACAGGCTTGAGATATGTTGTATATAACCAAAATTTACAGTCACATTTGGTTCATTATTATAGATATTCTTCTAATTTATATGACTGTTTCAAAATCCTTCCTAGAAACATCAAAACACTTGTAGTTTGCATGACAATTATTAAATAGTTTATACAAAAGGAAGCAGGTTTTCAAGGCCAAGCAAAGTTTTGTTTGCAGCCATAACAGATTTTGTACACATGTGTGAACCTTTACTATAGTATCTCAGCATGATAATTGTGTTTGACAGTCATTGGCTTTTGGATTGCACAACAGCATGGA